GGTTGCCCACAACTTTCCTCCTCTTCCAACTTGATCAACCCTAACTTCCATTCCCTGCTGGCTTGATTGCCCAACCAATTGCCCTCCCTTGCAGGCCTTGTGCTTCCCAACTGCCCTACCCTGCTGGCCATCTTGTGTTGGCCATCTTGTGTCCACATGGGGGCAGGATCTTTGATTTCATGGGGCAGCCATCTTGAGTGTTGGAGTGACAGTCAATCTGCACATTACTCTTTGATTAGATAGAATAGAGGCCTGGTGCACGGTTGGGGGCTGGCTGGCTTGCCCTGAAGGATGTCCCATATCAGGGTGGAGTTCCCTTGTGGTGTGGGGCAGCTAGGGCAAGGGGTCTCCGATGGTTTGCAGGCCAGCCAAGCCCCTGGTGACCCAAGTGGAAGCCTTGGTATCTGGAATTTATTTATCTTCTACAATTGAAACTTTCTAGCAGAGCAGAGCCAAGTCTTCTGCTTGATCTGTGGCTGTGGCCATTTCTGTTGGAACTTATGTACCATCTATAATTGAAACTTTGTAGCCTTTAGCAGAGGCTTAATCTGGCAAGGGTGTGCAGAAATCTTGGCTTCCACCATTGCCAGGGGCAACCCTAGCCTCCTGCTCTTTCCAGCCCTATGGCTGACGCCATTTCTATTTGAAATTATGTATCTTCTACCATATTTCCCCAAAAATAAGACAGTGTCTTATACTAATTTTTGCTCCCAAAGATGCGATAGGTCTTGTTTTCAGAGGATGTCTTATTTTTCCATGAAGAATACGGTACACATTTATTGTTAAATGAAAATGAAGAAAATTTATTACCTCTATATGGTACGGTAGTACGTTAGTTGTCAACACAAACCGGACAAACTGTGAATCCTACAGTATCAAAATTTTACTCATTTATTCAGTGACAATAAGGTCATCATCTTCTGTAACATCATCATAACAATCTAATTCCTGAATTTTCTGAATTTCTTGTGACTTCATTTCTTTCAGAATCAGTGGACCAAATCTCTCATGTTTAGCAACAGCACTGTCTTTAAATGAGTCCTTCTTTTCAAGGTAGCCTGCTCACAGTGCATTTGCAATGCACTGTCAGTGATTTCCTCCCATGAGTTCTTCACCCAAGTCACAGCTTCTTGCAGTTTAGGTTTCACAAAGTTTCCACGCTGATTTCTCTCCATTCTGTATTCAATGTAGTCATTAATTTCCATGCGCAAATTGTCTTTGAATGGCTTGTTTATTGCAATATCAAGAGTGTGGGAGACAGGCCATCATTCCTGAGGGAATCATTATCTGATCTATTTTTCTTTCGTGAAGAAATGTCTTCATGTCTTTAGTGTGGTGAGTGCTGGCTGCATCCCAGACTAGCAGACCTCTTTGGCTCCCTGGCATAACAAGCGGCAGCATTAAATCGACCCACTTCATTTTAACTGATTGTGTGGCCCAGGCTTTTTCAAGGTCAAGAATAAAAACGCCGAAAACATGTTCAATCTTTTCCTTCTTGCCCTCAGAAATGATTAAAGGTGGTATTTTAGTGTCATCCAGAGGAATTGCCAAAATACAGGAAACACGTGCACTTTCGTAAGCAGTGGAGGGAATGTACACTAAGGAGGCACCCGCTGTACATTGTTGTTGGAGATGATTGGCCCATAAACACTGCAGTTTCATCCATAGCAATCATGTTGGAAAGATTGTATTTAGAGAAGTCAGCATCATCAATAAAGACTTGAATGCAAGTGTTCGCTTAATAACTTGAGTATCTTCCAACCTAAACAATGTTGTAGATCTTCTTAAAGACAGTTCACTTCGCTGAAGGAAATTATCCAGCCAGTGTTGTGATGCTTTGAAGTCCTCAGGGGCTATGTCAAACTGTGGTGCCATTGCAAGGCCAAATTCTTGAATCTGAGTCCTATTCACAACTAAAGCCTTTGCTCTCCTGTCAACAACCCATTTCCAGCTGGGAAAATAATGGTTGCCGACCTGATCCACACTTGTGCTTTTTAGCATTTCCCTTGTCCACTGTTCAGTGAGGTTACCATACTCTGCTCGCCATTTTCGGATCAATTGGATACTCAGCATCTTCTCTTTGCAGAAAGCAGTAAGATTTTGGCCCCAAGAGACTTCCTTTCTTGTACTCCACGAAGTAGCTTTTTCTTTTTGCGCTCATTTCTAGGGGTAAAAAAAAGGAATTGGGGTATCTAGGTAGGGGGAGGGGGATCACCTAAAATGACACATGGAGTCAGAGGGGGAAATCAAAATGGCACAGGAGAATCAGAGGGGGGATTACCATTTTAGTAATCCCTTTTGATTCTCCTGTGTCGTTGTGATTGCCCCCTCTGATCCTCCTGTGTCATTTTAAGTGATCCCCCTCCCCCCACACCTGTGCCACTGAGCACCTTCACCAGACATCCTCCCCTGCCCCTTTATCAGACATTTACCCCCTGGGGCCTGCCAGGGGACTGTCACTGGGCTTGCTGGGGCCTGGATCGGGGCTGGAGCAGGGTCTGTCACTGAGTGAGAACCCTCAGTCATCATAAGGGCAGCCGCGAGCATCAGGTAGTGTCACCAGAGACAGACCAGCACTCACCACCTTTGCCGCATCCCATCTGTTCTAATCCTCCTGTTCTACACGCTTCTGCAAAAGTCTCTTCCTCTCTCCCACCCCACAGTCACCACCCCGACCTCCGCTCCGCCTCCACACAGCAGTGACATTAGGACTCCACGTAACATCACTGGTTGCTAGACGCCAGTCGAGGCGGCCTTGGCGACCAGTTTATGGTAAATTAATTTTCATTCTGAGACAGAGCCTAGGGGGGCATTATATTGAGGGGATGCCTTGAGGGGATGCCTTATATTTCACTCAGAAAAAAAAGGTGTAAGTAGGTCTTATTTTCGGAGGATGTTTTATTTTCAGGGAAACACTGTATCATTGAATCTTTATATCCTTGAGTGGAGGCCTAGGCCAGAAAGGGCAGGAGGAAAGCTTGGTTTCCTCCATTGCCAAGGAAACCCATGCCTCCTTCCTGTTCTCTGTAGCCATAGCAATCTTGGGTTTTGTTTTGTTTTGTTTTGTTTTGCATATTTGCTCCTGAATGGCTTGTGAGCATTGCTTGTGGACGAATCTTGAGGGTATAGCTGAGCAATAGTTAATTTACATATTAATCTTATAGGACTATGTAATTGGTTTCTTTGAGAAATCAATACCAAATGTGAAGTGACTCAAGAATTCACTTCTGGCCCTGACCAATTTGGCTCAATGGATAGAGCGTCAGCCTGTGGACTGAAAGGTCCCAGGTTTGATTCCAGTCAAGGGCATGTACTTTGGTTGTGGGCGCATCCCCAATATGGGGTGTGCAGGAGGCAGCTGATGGATATTTCTCTCTCATCCATGTTTCTAACTCTCTCTCCCTCTCCCTTCCTATCTGTAAAATATCAATAAAAAATATATATGTTTTTTAAAAGAATTCACCTCTGTAAGTGGTCTCCACAGGAACATAACAAGTGAGAATATTTTCTGAGAAACTGAAAAACCTTTAAATCTTAAAAAATAAATGAATGAATGAATGAATGAATGAATAAATAAATAAATAATATTTAAATCTTTCTAAGAATTCACCTCTATAAGTGGTTTCCAAGGGACCATTACAAGTGAAAATATTTCTAAGAAACTAAAAGGACATCTACTAAGATATATTACAACTAATGGTGGGGGGGAAATGAATGAAAGTGAAAAAAGCATTTCTTGGATAAATTAACAAAGTTTATGAAAATGTAAAGTGCTTAATGTTTACAGTTAATTATGTTATTCACTGGCATATACTTTATGCAAAAATACTTTTTTGTGTGCCATTCTCAAAGACTTATTAAACATCAGTTTCATAAATTTTTGTCAAAAAGAGAAGCTGATCACTTATGGCTTAGCACTCACGGTTAAGACTGAAATTTTTTTTGAATGAGAATAACAATTAGCCACTGTCATTGGTAATTAATTTTTTTTTGTTGCAATTTTTATGATTCTTTTAAAAACAAAACAATTTTATATTGCAAAACAATGCTACACAATAAAGTCATACAAAAGACAAATGTTTTTGGCACTGCAGGCACTATCAAGCTGCTTAAAATACTCTGTGTGGTATTAAAAATTAAACTAAAGTCTAGATGTCCATCCCTTCAACTATTTGCAGCACTATACCTTTAGTACCATATTTCAAACTTCAGTGCAATGCACAGAATATTTTCATTTAGCAAAAGCCTTTTGTGCAATGAAAATTAAAAACTTTTTTTTAGGTTAATCCTCTTCCAGAGATATTTTTTCTTTGATAGTTTAGAGTGGAAGAGAGAAGGAAAGAGAGGGAAACATCAATGTGAGAGAGACATATTGAATTGTTGCCTCTGCACAAGCCAAAGCTATTTCCTCTTGCAACCCAGGTATGTACCCCTGACCATTTGGTGCCAACGCTCTATCCACACTTATCAGAACTAACAGAACTCTATATACTTTACAACCAATTAACATTAAATAAAATATGCCTATATATTAATAGTAGTATTTGTTAATACCTATTTGTGAAGCACATATTTTTATTTTTAAAGACAAAATATGTATTATCTCATTGTTTATCATATAAATATTAAATTCATATAATACGATATAGTTCTTAATGGGTAAAAAAATTGGAAAACTATCAATAGATCTAGTCAAACCCTTTTATAATGACTTTATATAGTTCACGCATTGAGTGACTTATTGCTTCCTTCCCAAGTTATATTTTTCAATTGTAGTGTTATATATATATATATATATATATATATATTAAGAATTAAAGACAAAAATTAATACTCTCAGATCAATTATAAGAATCATTATAAATATCTTTACCTATAAAAAAGAACTAAAAGATCTTTTGAATAAAATAATTATAAACAGAAAGAAACTGGTATATGTGTCACATTTGACTAACACTTTTTTTTTTTAATAGAAACATATGTTAGCCCATAAAAATAACCTGGTGTTCGACTGCCTGGAACTTTCATGTATAGTTGCACTGTATTCATGCCCAGAATAGAATGACCAAGGTGGCTTAGAAGATTTCCTGCTGATACCACCCGCACAAAAGCAGGAAGTTTAGTCAACTCATGCAGCTGCAATTTCCACCTGAAATAAAATAACAGATTAATAGTTTAACTTTGCATCCAGACAGAGAAGCATCAATAAGATGCTCAATCCTATTAGATAGAGGAGGGTGGATTAGGGGAGAGATCAACCAAAGGACTTGTATGCATGCTTATAAGCATAACCAATGAAAACAGACACCAGGGGATTGAGTGCATGAGCTGGGGAGGTGGGTCACCAATGGGGGGATAAGGATACATATGTAATACCTTAATCAATATACAGGGGAAAAAAGTTTAACTTTGCCACAAATATTTATGAGAATTAGCTGCATCTTAAAAATCTTGTGATTGGACCAGAAAACATTAAATTTCTAAGTATTATACTTTTAAAGTCAAAAGTGCTAAAAAGTTTAACTTTTTTTAAGAAGTTCAAGCACCTAGAGTGATAACTGTACAAAAACAAAAAAATTATAATCATGTAAGTCAAGCACTCCCTTCCACTCTAAAAAAAAGCTAACATGGGCCAAATAAACAAGATTTAAATTTATGTGGGCAAAAAAAAAAATAAAGCAATAGAAACCTAGGTTTATGTCGATAGAGACATGCAGAATACAAAAAACTGACATACGTGAGTAATCGTTAACATAAAATAATGTTAATAAAAAATATTTTTATTGAACATTAACTTACCAGACATCAAATAACCGCACAAATTACTAAGCATAACGCAAATAACCTATTTTTCTTATTCTCTGAAAGTGAAATATTTCCTGTTGCACAGACCAAACAAGTCAGTTCAAGACTAATGACCTGGCAATTGCCTGCTAAAATATTTGCTGCTGGTATTAGTGGAGAGAAATGGTGCGCCTGTGCATAAGGTGCCTAAGAGAAATAGTGCAACACGATAATAGTCACCAGTCATTAACAAATGTTGTAATTCGTTATTAATAATAATGTATAACAGAATGTTGTAAAGATTAAATAGCGAAATTTTTATTAAAACATTTTTTACATATCATTATAATGTCTGGGTCACAAAAATATTCGTTGTGGGCCGCATGTGTCCCTGAGCTGTGAGTTTGACATGCTTGATGTAAAAAATACATTTTTATTTTTCAAATATATAAAATTAATGTTCTGGCATTCTTCAAGTAAAAAAAAAAAAAAAAAAAAAATCTAATTTAAACCTAAAAAAGACGTTTTAAAATGTGGGGTTTTGGATGGGTTTTTTTTTTTGTTTTTTTTTTTTGCTAATATCAATATAAAAAATATAGTAATAAAAAACAAATAAAAACATTACTACTAGGGAATTTCTAATCCTGTAATCCTACTTTGACTTTATATAAACAGAACTGGAAAACTTACTTTTTGTCATCAGAAAGATCAATGTTGGTTCCAAACTTTATGGTTTTAAAAGGTCCTTTCCTTCTCTTTCCAGAACTTAAAAAAAAAAAAAAAAAAAAAAAAATTAAGTCCATGCCCTTTGGACAGAAATATTGACTAAACACTTAAAGTTACTTACATATTCGAAGCTGTAGAGTCATTGTCTGAATAATCTTTGTTTTGCATTCTTTTCTCATTTTCTTCCTATAGATTAAATAAATATTCATGCATAGTATCCCATTACAGGTTACTGTTTTAATTACACAAGTAAATAAAATAGTCTTATCCTATATAATAAAAGATTAATATGCAAATTGACCCAAGGCAGAATGACCAGTTGCTATGATGGGCACTGACCAGCAGGAGGAGACACTCAATACAGGAGCTGCCCCCAGTGATCAGTACACTATCAAAGAGGGAGTGCTTCTCAGCCAGAAGCTGGGCCCATGGCTGGTGAACAGAATAGCAGTGGCAGGAGCCTCTCCCACCTCTGTGGTAGCACTAAGGATGGCCAATTGCTGGCTGAGGCCCAGTCCCCGCAGTGTCAGACATCCCTTGAGAGCTCACGTTCTGCAAGAGAGCACAGACTGGGCTGAGGGTGGAATTCCCCCCAAGTGCACGAATTTTGTGGATGGGGCCTCAAGTCTAAATATAACCTACTTGGTTATACTTTGAAAACTAAGTTTCCATAAATAAACTTCAAAAAAATAACTTTAATGACCACATTAAATAAAGAATCAAGGCAATCCAGCCGAAACTGGTGGATAGAGCGTCAGCCTGTGGACTGAAAGGTCCCAGATTTGATTCCGGTCAGGGGCCTGTGTCTTGGCAGTTGGTCAATGTTTCTCTATCATCAATGTTTCTGACTTTCTAACCCTCTCCCTTACTCTCTGCAAAAAAATCAATAAAATATATTAAAAAAAGGCGATCCAAATAACACAATATTCATCCTTTCATCAGCCACAAAACTAATATTACAGAACTCAATTATTTTGCAAATAAGAAAAACATACAATCATTGTGGTGTAAAGATGACTTTCACTTTATACTTTTAAAAATGTTATTTATTTTTAAACATATTTTTATTGGTTGTTTTTCATAGAAAGGTAGAGGGATAGAGTGATAGAAACTTTAATAAGAAAGAAATATCAATCAGCTACCTCTTGCACTGGGGATCAAGCTCACAACCAAGGTGTAAATCCCCTTGACAGAAATTGAATCTGGAACCCTTCAGTCGCAGGGCCAATGTTCTACCCACAGAGCCAAACAAATTAGGGCTGAATTTTATTTTAAATGCTATCAAATGAATTTGAGAGAGTACTAAAAGATAAAACAAAATAATATTTTAAAAACCTCACATTATTTTAGGATTAAAATATTCTGCAAGTACATATTCCCAAGAGAAAATTTTTATTCCTATTTCAAAGATAAAGAGTAAGGTATGGAAAAAAAAAAAAAAAAAAAAAAAGAGTAAGGTATGTTTTTCCTTACTGACACTCTTCTCAAACAATAAAATCTGTAATTTTTTAAGATTCTGCCATATATTAAAAACAGAGAATGAAAAAAAATTAAAGCAAGATTAGGGAACAAAATATCACATATGCTGATAGATACTCAAGCAGAAAGCAAAAGCACATCTTCTAACCTGAGTGAGGGCATACAAATACAACTATGCATAGCTTAAGATTATATGGGGGGGAGAAAGGTAGGATTTTCTAATATGATTTTGTTCAGTCACCTGACCCTGCCTGTGTAAACCATACTAATAAAATTACTGGCATTTAAAGAAGTTCTTCACAATTTAAGTTTTTGACACAATAAATTCCATATTAATAAAAATTTACATAGCACTAGAGAGGATATTAAATGTGGTTTTTTTTTAAGTATGAAAAAAACCTCTTGACAAGCTGCCAATATAATGCATGGAGTAAATGCATTAATTGAAATAACTGGAAATCCCTATTTAAAAGAATAAAGAATGATCATTGCTGTGGAATAGGTGGAACCTCCTACTCCTTGCTCCCAAGACCAGAGATATTTGTGTTTGAACTGTAGGACATCAGACATGAAAAACTAGTTAATGTGAAGTTTCTAGTTAAAGTAAAGTTTCTCTGTTCAAATACTGTGAACAGAGAATGCAGGAAAAAAGAAAGAAGAGGAGAGGGTGGGTTAACTGGACAGATCACAGCTAGTAAGCTGGAGAGACATTTGGCAGCAGAGCCCCCAAACCCCTGAGAGTACAGAGTAAGGGATCTAAGCCATCCAAGTATCCCCAACTCAGAAAACAGAGAAGGAAATGGGAACCCAGGTAACACTGGGTAGGAAGCAGTAGAGATAAAGTCCATCTTAGAAGCTCAAACTGCAAAAGCCCAGGCAAAGAGCAATCTCTTTGTTGCAGCAGCAGGAACAATTGACCTAATCTAGGACTGGGGGGAATGGTCAAGCAGCAAAGCTCCACAGTGCAGAGTTTGGTGTGGAGGGAGCTGACAGGTTAACAGTGATTCAGAGAGCGCCTCTAGCCCCTGGTAGAACATTGTTCAGAAAGCAAGATGGCCTGGGAGAGACAAGTCTGTGTGTCTAGAAGGAAAAAAAGAGATTAGACTTCCCTACCTCACTTCCATAAATGCACTAAGAGCATCCTGGCTGAACCTGCAAAATCTGTCACATTGACCCTGATCTGCTGTTGATCCCAGTGAAAGGCAAATGTCCTGGAACTACAAATCTGTACCAGTAAGGCTCAATATGCAGGCTCATGAAACACAGTTGACCAGCAAAAGTCCTGTCCTAGGACAGAGGCCTTTGCAAAAAATTCAAGTGCCAAGTGGGTTTGATTTTTATATTTGCTTTTGTTTAAGTATATATTTTTAATTGTTTTCAGAGAGGGGAAAAAGAAACATCCATGATGAGAGAGAATCATTGATTGGCTGCCTCCCTGGATGCCCTCTACTGGGGATGGAACTGGCAACACAGGCACATGTGCCCTTGATTGCAATTGAATTCTTTAGTCCACAGGCCAACACTCTATCCAGAGCCAAAGAGGATAGAACTGTTTTTCGTTGTTAGTTTTTTGTTTGTTTGTTTGTTTGTTTGTTTTTGTGTGTGTGTGTTTTATCCCCTCCTACTCTGAGTGGTAGCAATGGACAACCAGGAAGCCAAACAGAAGGGGTTGCAACAGTGTCTCCTAGTGGGTTTTGGTCTCAGTGAGTGTATTTGAGCCCTTCCACAGCATTACAAGGAAACAGATCCACTTCTCAATGAGTACAGCCTGTCAGTCCAGCACTGCCTAAATAAGAAAGTGCCCACCCCCTCTCCTACAGATTACAAGCAGTATCTTCAACACCCATCTGCTTACACCACATGCCGAGAGGTACCAGAAGCCCTTAGAGTGAAGATCCATGGGAGATGGGAGAGCACTCAGAGCAGGGACAATCAAAGGGTGAGACCCAAGAAAGACAGTCTCTGACCTTAAGAGAACCCACTAACTAGACAAATGTTAGGTTGTGTGGCTTTAGCAACTGACACTGACAATGAATCAACTTGGAGATGTGTGACCAGCAGATAAACAGGCCAGTACTGGACAACATCTGAGCAAATCCAACCAGCTAGAAGATCTAGAGGGTTTATATGTAGGCACCAAAATCTGTGGAGAATGTTTTTCTCTTCATATTTCTTTAATACTACTTTGTATATAATCTTTTTATTTTTAGATTTCACTTTATTTTTGTTTATTTTCCTCCCATATTCTTCTTCCACTTTTTGCTTTGCTTTTCTATTTTTCCTATTCCATATATTTTTTTTATTACAATTACTTTTTTAAATTATTTGACTAGAGGCCTGTGGCAGGAAGATTCCTGCAAGAACAGGGTTTCTGGCGGGCTTCCCTCCCACCACCTCTGCACCAGCCCCAGCACTTTCCCTCCTGCAGCCACCATCCCTCTACCCCCCACACTTTCCCTCCCACCAGCACTGCTGCCCCATGCTTTCCCTCCTGCCACCAGCCCCCTGAAATTTTCCTCTCGCGCCACATCCTCCCACCCCTGCGCTTTCCCTCCTGCAGGTGCCACCACCACTGCCTTCCTTTCCACTTTCCCTTCCTCTTCCTTCTATACTGTCTTCAATCTTCACTCCTCTGCATATGGAAATTAACCTCCATTTTGCTGGGTTAATTTGCATACTCACTTTGATTGGCTAGTGGACATTAAGTAGAGCGATGATTAATTTGCATGTTTTTTTTATTAGTGTAGATTATATCCTCTTCTTACATTTTACCTCTTTTTCTCCACATTTTCCTTCACATTCTTTTATTTTCTTCTCTCTCTCTCTCTCTCTCTCTCTCTCCCCCCCTCTCTCTCTCTCTCTTTTTGTCACTTGTATTATAGTATTCCCTTTTATTTCTCTCTCTTTATCTTCTCTTTCCTTGTACTTTTTGTTGTTGGTGAGGCTGTTTTGGTTCTTAATTTTAGCTTTTGTTCTGTTTGTGTTGTATTCAATTGGGCCTACTTTATCTTGTCTTATTCTGTCAGCACCTATATAACAGCTACCTGAGATTGAGCTTCATAGGCAGCCAGCCAGCCTAAGGACTGAGCCTATCCATGAAATGGACAATCAAAAGGCAATTACAAGATTTAAGAGAGAAGCCAAGATGGCAGCGTAGGTAGGTGGCTGGTCTGCCGCTCCCTCAGCAATTTAGGAAATAGAAACTAATATGAAGGATATCTATCATCCAGAGCCACGGGAAGGAGGTACTGGGTAGTTAATAGTCAACAATTAACATGATAATGGGAGCAATGAGGGATCAATGGGCTCTTAAAATGTGACCAGCTGGAGAGATGGAAGAATGGCAGCCCGGAGCAGCAGCAGCCAGCCCAGAACAGCAGCAGGCAGGACTGGAGCATCCAAGCCCAGAGCAGGGAGGCCCGGAGAAGCAGCAGCCAGGCCCGGAGCAGAAGCAGCCAGCTCAGAGCAGCCAGGCCCAGAGCAGCCAGGCCCAGAGCAGCCAGGCCCGGAGAAGCAGCAGCCAGGCCCAGAGCAGCAGCAGCCAGGTACGGAACAACAGCAGCCAGGCCGGAGAGCAGCAGCAGCCAGGCCCAGAGCAGCAGCAGCCAGGCCCGGAGCAGCAGCCAGGCCCGGAGCAGCCAGGCCCGGAGTGTTATGGAGTCGAACCTTGGGTTCAAAAATAAAAGGAAAGAAGGAGAAATGCAGCC